CCCCAAAACCCCAAAACCCCAAAACCCCAAAACCCCTCTTACTTAGAAGAATATTGAAGGAACTAAGAAAAGTTTTTAGAGCCAATCATTTTGCTACTCTTCGATTTCATAGAAAAGCAAGTATGCTTTCTTTGAGAGAAGTTCTTTAAGGCTTATATAACGCGTGTCTAAGTCACTAGCGTACATCCAACTCATCTTCTCATCAATTTCTTTGTTAAACTGGGAATCTATGCTTGTATTTGACATTTTAAGACTCTCCTTTGCAGGAATGGATTCTTCAGAGTCAGGAACAAGATCTAGAAGGGTTAGAATCCAAGAATATTTACCGAAGTTGATCTTTCTCAAGGCAACATAGTGGCCTCCAAAAGCGTTTCCGTAATGAACAATCACACTTTTAAGCTTGTATTCTTCGCCTAGTTCTAGTCCTAAATATCAGAGCGAATGTGGTACCATATTGGACCATATTATTGTTTTTGGTTAAGTTTCCCCATTGGTCGAAATTAGAAAGTCTGTTTAAGTGAATGCACATTATCTTCGGCTTTTTCTGGATAGAATGGTACCTTTTAATAGTACTCTTTTTCTTAATTAGTTTCATGCAGAATCTACTGATTCTGTGTTTCAGAGAGAACTCATTGAATTCATTCTCAAAATCTTCAAGTTCTATGGATAATTTGATTAAAAAGTACCTAAATTCTGATTGATGTTCAGATATGTTATGAGGAAGGTATGCTGAAGTTTTAAAGCCTGGGTTTCAATGGCAGTCATTCTTCAGGACGATCCAAGAAACCTACTGTTTATTTTGCTCAAAGTTGCAATTATGGATCATTTAAGGCATACATAGTCTTGGATTTGTTCGACTTTCATTTCTTCATTAATATTTTGATCTATTGTTGGGTAGTTTCATGAGACTGATAGAGCATATTTGATTTCGTTCTTCTCCCAAGAATACCTTCAAGAAAGTCACTCGAAGTGAGATGCATAAATACCTGCAAAAGGATTTACTATAGATTCAAAAGGTAATCTATCATCATTTCTAATGCTATTTTCCTTCTTTTTGTCATTCTCATCTTTCTGCTTCAAAAACAAGGATCTTTTCATGAACACAGAGGAGGAAGCTAGAGTACTGGAAGATTCTTTAATATTAACATCTGCATCCTCCCTCTTTTGTTCCTGTTCACTCTCATCAAGGTCAATTTCCCTTCTGACTCATTGCTTTACTATTTCCTTAAAGTCATTAACTGGCTTCTGTAATGCCTGTGTTTTGGCATAGTCATAGATCATAGTAAATAAGACCATCAACAGCTCGTGGGCATCCTCTTGTTCTAGTGCATATGTAAAATTCTGGCATAGCTTGTCATAGAAGTTTTCCATATCTTTGTATTGTTTTCTTCCTTGAAGTAATGAGAAATAAGCCTTGATGAAATCCTGCAGCATTTCAGTGTTAAATTGCGCATCCTCATCTACCAATTCATCATGGGCTTTAAAGAAGGACTCTTCAGCAGACTTTTTGGTAAGCACAGAAGTGAAATTTAAAATATAGGAGTGAAAATGAGAGCAAGAGAGAAGAGACTGAAATAAAGCATTCATATAGCAGGTGTTACCGTAGTTAGGAATCCCTGTTGGCAGAGCATAGGTCGTTGATGGGTAAATAGACCCACGAGTTGAGCAATTGGAATTCAGGGTATCTGGTTGGATGAAGATTGATCGAAGACCGTAATACTTCTCGTGTTCAGCGAAGCTGATTTTCTTAGGTTTATCAAGCCATGAGCCCATTTTGTTATAAAAGTATTTATTATTATTATGCAGCTGTCAATTTTTTTCTAAAATTAAGGGGTTTTGGGGTTTTGGGGTTTTGGGGTTTTGGGG